CCCTATATAGGGTTGCTAGGAGTTGGAACCAACACCACAGCACATCACCACCACTATACCACTATACATAACAAAAAAGAGCCCAGGGTTCTGGAAAAATAGCTGAAGCAATCCATTTCCCATAATCATAATTTCTAAGCAAAGATGCATCCACCATATTAAGCAGTATGCCTCTTCCCCCCACACAAGCGACAAGGATGGCAAATGAATTCCTCATTTTCACAATCATTCTGATTACTTCCGCCCAGAAACTTCAGAGTTTCTACTCTAAGCTAGAAACAAAGTTATCTGAAAAAATAAAAATAGGAATACTTTAGTTGATATTTCAACAGGATAATCACTCTTAGGCTAAAAGTTTGGAAATCACGTTTATCTTAAATAAAGATCAGACACAACAAACTAGTTTTATTGGTATTTCTGGGCAAGTTCCAAACTCAACATATTCTAAAATCAGAGATGCTGACATTAGGATTTTGTCTCCAAGTCGCTGGTTCCTCTCAAACACGTTACAAAGGAGAGGGAGAATGGGAGCCGATCCTTCAGGACTGGGAAGGAGGCACCCTCTCAGTACTCACGCCCTTGGCTTGGACTAAGTGCACTTTCAGCACTGCTGTGTGACATTAACCCAAGTTAAAAGCGCCACTTAAGCAAGAAGCCTACCGTCACACCACGGACACTCACCCGGAGCTCAAATAACATACAGGAGTTTTAAAATAGTATTAAAATTATTTTTATTATATTCAAAGCCAGCATAGTTGGCTTTTGGCATAACTATCCATTTCTAATACAAAATTGGACTAACTAAATATCATCCAATGTATAAATAGACCATGAAACAATTTTAAAGATTAGAAAAGGAACTCTCTCCTATGAAGTAAAAAAGAAAAATGAACTATAAGAATTTTTTTTAGTGGCAAACCAATCATGAATCACTAAGGTCATTTTAGAATTTTCCTAATAGAATACAAATATTGACTTAATACAAAAGTCTTCATGCTGAGGCATCACACATGAAAACAGAACAACAGACTCTTTCAATGTTAAGGCAACGCCTGCTGTCATTGATGCTGAGTCCTTAGACGTGTGACCATCACCCATCATGTCTGTGCACGTGGGCCTAGGGAGGGAGCAAGAGAGCCGAGGAGGGCACCGTGTTCACTAATCTCACCAGGCCGCCTCTGTTCTAGGGGTGTGTAGGGGTCCTCATCTTGCAGACTCCTACTTTGTAAGCAACGAAGATACCACTGGATTATAGAATGATTTTCATGCCTGTCAGGTGAAGTTATAGAGGCCCTTGGAGTCCTGGTGTGGTGCTGTGGGCTAATGTGCTGGACTGAAAAGTTGGTTTGAGCTACAAGGTCGGCAGTTCAAACTCACCGGCTTCTCCTTGGGAACCCTATATAGTGTCACTATGGGTCAGAACTGACTCAATGGAACTTGACAACAAACAGGTGCCTCACATTCCACTGAATTGGGATACATACATAGGGGCCTCTGGGCTGCATTGTGTGCAAATAGATCACATGCCAAATGGAGGAGCGTTCCGAGAACCAGTAATTGTAGAATCCTGCATCGGCCTCACTTACTACACAATAGATTTTAGTAAATGGTTCCATTAGCAACCACCGATTCTTGGATTAATTTATCAGAAGGTTAGGGTACACTAACTGACTTTGAATTGAGCGTCTGTGGAAAGTTCTGCAACGGCCGGCAGAGATATGGTGAAGAACCAGTACAGCAGTACTATGTATCTTAAACCTTCTCTTTATAAAGATGTCAGTGGGGCGGACCAGCAACGGCGCTTCATGTATGCGAGGTGCATCAGAGTGAGGAACAAATGCCCTCCTGGAAAGGGGGCAGGTCAGAAGGAACGCAGACACCCACACCTACTTCTGGGAAGCTGGCCTCTGTCCTGAGTTGTGCGTTCCCCGAACACAACACACATGTCATGTGAGACTTTAGATGCATGCATACACTAGCTACAATTCTTAAAAATCAAGTTCACATTTCCTTACACGTGACAACGGGGCAAGTACAAAACATTGCACTAAAGCATCGAGCGTTCCTGGGTTGGACACTGACCATCCTCCTAAAGATGGGGGGGGGGGGGGGGTGGGGGAGTGGGGAGGAGGCAGGCTCTCAGGGCTGTCCTGCTGAGATTGGGACTTGAGCTGGTCCTTGTGCATGATGGGACTTCTCAAATGAAGTAACTGTCTAAAACACGCCCATGACTGAAGGGGTCAAAGCAGAACTTGTGAGGGGACCACTGAGCTAACCGTTTTGAAAAAGTGTTTTTATTTCCATCAGTTCGAGTCCTGGTGTCCCCCCAGCTGCTCCTTGAAAATCCTACAGAGGCTCACTATGAGTTGTGGCTGATTCCATGGTATCTAATGATGGTAACATTGCCACGTTTGCCACGGAAACAAAACCACTCTTCTATCACCTCGCTTTCCAGCTTCCATGCCCACTACATTCTACTGCTGCTCACCATCCCGCCATCCACATTCCGGTTTTCAGCATCTTTCGGAAAGGAATTCATTTTTCCATTCCCCTTAATTAACTGTGAACTTCCCAGCAGCCCCCATCTCTGGGTACTTCTCTTAGGGCTCGCAATGCACAGAATGATGTTTGTGTGGGACGGACCACGGGGATGCATACAGATTCACTGACCCAGATGACATATCCTGGTTTCTAAAATCTGAAGTCTTCAGAGACCTAATGAGGTTAAATGTGCATTCTCTGGATTTTATAAAGGCTAAGGGGAACGGAGTCCTGGTGTGGCACTGTGGACTAATGCATCAGACTGCAAAGCCGTTTGAACTGCAAGGTTGGTGGTTCAAGCTCACCAGCTGCTCCTTGGAAACCCTACACAGGGTCGCTATGGGTCAGAATCGACTCGATGGACCTTAACAACAACAACAAGGGAGACATGGTTCGAGTGTTTTCTGTTAAAGATGATCTGAGTCTGACATTAACTCATGTGCTAAACTATACTCTATTAAATATTTTTAAAGGAAAAACTAGTGGTCATCTTTCCTAATTTCACTCTTTATTTATCACTATTCCAAAGTAGATACGCGGCGATGAGGTAAGTCTGAGACCGCAGCTCTACCTCAGAACCCTGGTTATGTGTGAGGGTCCAACCCGCCTTCTCAGGAGACCATGCATCCAGCAGTAAAGTGTGAAGATCCAAGTGAACCCATGTCTTTATAACACCTTGGATTTCAAAGGCTGTTTTGCAAAAAGCAGCATTTATAGTTAGGAATACATCAAAATAATACACAAATGTCTTGTGTTTCCCCGATGAAAAAACTGAGAAAAGTCACAAAATGGATGATTGATAATATATTTTTTTCTTTCACCAAAATAAAAATAGTCTTTAGACTCACCTGCTGGTACCTTCAACAGGCAGCTAACCAGTACGGCCCTGAAACGAGGCCTTCTGTACAATTAGAAACGAAACCACCACTGCTTAGACACTGTCCTGAACAGGCATTGAATGCTGAAAGCAAAATAAATAACCCAGCAAGAACAAAAAGGTTTAAATTCCATTCATTTCAACTTTGCGGATATTTGGTCATCAAAATAAACCCACGTTACCTACATATTTTCATACAAAACAATAAAAGAAAAAGTGCATCAAGATACCAGCAGGATCTCAGTCCTTGGGAACAGACTGACAACAGCCAGGCAGGGAGCTCACGGCTCCTAACAAGAAGTCCAAAAGCACAGGGACAGTGGGCTAAGGCTCTCCCCCCTTAAAAAAATATACACTACACAAAGCAGTTTGGAAAAGAAGTCATATTATTGAACAGTTTTCTGGCTTAAATATTTTCACATAACAAAAATTTCCGTGTCGCATCAGTATCACTATATACAGACGCCCAGAAGGAGAAACAGTGAGGACAAAAATCAAAAGGCTCCTCCCCCTTTTCACGTGACAGTGAGACAGTCCTCCCGACAGAGTGAGTCCAGGCGGGGTTGGTAAGAAAGTGACTCTGTTCCAACGCCAAGGAGCCGAGACGAGAAAAGGAAAAGAAATCATCAACCCGGCTTTGTGTGGCGGGCGACGAGGCGATGGGCACTTGTGCGTGCGTGCGTGCGGTGTTGACCTAGAGCTTTGAGAGGCCCAGCCACGTGGAGCCGCTCTGGCTATGTACAGGGAGCATATAAATAAGTGGAAAGGAAACACTGCGTCAGGGACGGTCTTCCATCTTTGGAATGTCAGAAGGGTGGCCTGCACTCAGCTGGGGAAGGGTGGGGGGACATGAACGTGGCACTGTCGATGATACTAAAGGGGTCCCTGAAATCAAACCGCGTGTCGACCCACGGGGCGTCTGGAGGGTGACCCTGTCTGTCCTTCCTGCGTATGGCTTGTGCTTTCTGCAGCAGCCGTCCACCTGCTAGGCCACCGCTCTGCCCCAGGTCCTGTCCTGGTGGCGAATGGAGAGAACTGGCCCAGCCATCTCTCAGGTGTTGGTGCCACTAGCTTACTATAGACTAGAAAGGGTCCATTTCTACCACTTTCCAGAACGCACAGAGATTACAGGGGAGGAATCTTCCCTGTGCGTCCAGACGTTCTTTCTCCTGGACTTTGCGTGCTTCTCTGCACTGGGTTTAGGTTCTGCTTCTTGTACCAGAACCTGAGGTAAAGTTGCCCGCCACACCAGCTTGTCCCATAGTGAGTCTGGTCTTTGCCACAGTGCTGACCAGCGGCGATGGGCTCTGGCAGACGGGCAACAGGCCTGGTGGGAAGACGGGGCAGCTGCGGGAGTCCCTGAGCTCAGTGACCGAGGCGCACAAGGGCCGACGGGCGGGCGCTCCCAGACTTTCCTCCAAGTCTCTGAAAGTCGACGATTCTGGAGATACGATTACGGCAAAACACCGATCGTGGTCACATTTCGCACACTTGAAGCTTCAAGACAGAAATCCCAAGTGCTCTGTTTTTCACAGAACGACCTCAGGGACACTTGGCAGAGCGTACTTGCACCTGCAACACGTCAGAACACGTTGGCCAGGGTTGGCCACTCGCCGGATGGCTCCTGTACCTCCAGGTGCAGTGTCCGGCCCAGCTCCGCCCCATCCTGCTCTGGGTGGGCAGCAGCCTCCTGCAGGGACCCTGTGGGTGGAGCAAAGATGGGACAGGCTCAATGCTCGACATGGGCTGTGGGGAAGCAGCTCATACTGACTTGCTTTCTGTCCCACCACAAAAAGAAGAACTAAAGCTGCAGAGGAGACTGCTGTGGGAACACAAATCCATCCCCACTCTCTCCACGGGGTCTGGGACAGCAGGGTCCATACAGGATACTGGTGACAACACTGATAATACGAATAGACACATGGCACCCCGCCCTACACACGTAGTGCACACAATCAAACAGACGAACACGCACACGCGGTGCCCTGACTTACTCACGATGAGCATACACTCTAACACACATGGACAAGCACATAGTATCCCACCATACCCATGTATTGTATACACTCTTAAGACACATGGACGCGCACACACGGGGCCCCGCCCTACCTGTGTAGCCATGCGCACACACTCTAACACACATGGATGCACACACACACGGGGCCCCGCCCTACCTGTGTAGCCATGCGCACATATTCTAACACACATGGATGCACACACACACGGGGTCCCGCCCTACCCGCGTAGCCGTGTGCGCGGCGCATGTGTAGCTTCATGTTGCTCTTCTGCGTGAAGCCCATGGCACAGTACTCGCACTTGTAGGGCCGCTCGCCTGTGTGCTTCTTCATGTGCACCTGGAGAGCGCTCTTCTGGTTGAAGGCCTTCTCACACAAGGCGCAATGGAACGGCCGCTCCCCTGTAGACAGAGCACGGGTCAGGAGGCCAGTGCAGTCCACAGCCACAGGCACACAGCCTCCACAGTCGCGAAGTCACACAATTCTAGGGAAGTTCAAAGGAAGCGATCCCGAGACTGAAGACCACACAGTGACCAGACACAAGGGGCCAGTACACGGGGTCCTGTCCTGAGGTGTAAGGAGAATGGCTAGACGTCCGGAAGGGAGTCAGCCCCCACTTTCTAGGAAAAGAACTCACAGGCCTGGAGGAGGAACAAGTAACTGCTTTCTAGTTCCCGGGTCAGAGGTCACTAGTGTAGTGGTACTGCTGAGTCGATTTTGCCCCCCACACCCCCCATGACAGAGTGGTCCCCCAGGGTCTCTAGGGTGTCCTCTTCAAGGAGGAAGAGAGCCACAAAGCGCTCAACTTGTGCGCTACCAGGGCGCTCTCATGTCATTGTTGTTGTTGTTGTGAAGTGCCATCAAGTCGGTTCCGACCCATAGCGGCCCTGTATAGGGTTTCCGAGGAGTGACTGGTGAGCTTGAACCACCGACCTTGCAGTTCAAACGGCTTTGCAGTCTGGTGCATTACCCACAGGACCACACCAGGACTCCCTTTTAGTTGACAAAATCAGTTATAAGAAACCGATCAAATGTCAGGGCAAAGGGGATACACAGATCTTGCTTTACAGGCAGGACATC